ACAGTTGTACTATAAGTCTTGGATATTCGCTTACAGATAAGTCCTTAGAGAGAGAAATCTAGAGCACCATAAAAACAGCCCAATGCTCTAGCCCCTTTTTTTATGTTGCTAAAAAGCATCTTTTAGTATTTATTGCATATTCCATTAGTCAAGTTACAAGATTATGGCTTTAGTTGAGCACTAGCATCATACTACCCAATGCAAAACCCCATAGGTGACAAGGTACGAGGTAACAAAGTACTAGGAAATCATTAGTGGTAGTCAAGGTAGACACATGTAATATGAATTAGATGATTAAAGGTGTATAGGACAACAAGAAAGATCACATGCTATACTTGCCTTAAACTCAGATCCTTCTTCTAGTCCAAACATTCAAAGAAACTCCTTCTTGATCAACACGTAAAGCTCACCGACTGAACATGATCATAAAGCGCCACACATGTATCCATGCAATCATACACGAAGCAAACAATAGAACTAAATTAGAATAGTGCACTAAATATATGAAACAATAAGTAAAAATGTTTTAAAGATGTTCTACACGTTACTATGATCACAAAGACGTGAAAAGCACGCTAATCGGAGCTACGGTGAAAATGATACATCTACCGATAAATTTGCTTCGAAAAGAAACTATAGGCTTTATTTATTTTAGCTATATAAAACATGTATAAGATACTTAAGAGAAATACCTTGATTGAGTTAAGTCAAATTATACTTGATTTAGAAAAATAAGGTAAAACTAATCATATAATTGACCAAGGTGAAAAACCTAAGTTACTTTTAATTAGAAAAATCCAATTGCATAATTATTATTCAAGTTAAGCGTTAAACCATAAAATTTTAGAGCTCTTGACATGGAAAACATTGATACTAATGCATAGATTATATTGTTACGAATCTAACTCAACTTGAACGGGTCAAATAGGAGTTAAAACGGAGAATATATGGCCTAATGAAGATAGTGGCAATTTTATAAATAGATGAAACTTGATTTTCGAATTTAAAATAAATAAAATCTAATTTTAAATCTGCCCAAGGACTGTGAGTATTATTTCATAAAAAGGCAGGGGTGAAAATAGAAGAAAGAGGGATCTCTTTGTAAATACTGTTGAACACAGTTGGACTGCAGGTTAATTTCAATGAAGGGGAGGGGCTCTTTTGCAAAAGGGGATAGGCAAAGGGCTATCGGCCTCTAGTGGCCATTGGATCTGAATTGGATGGTTCGGATTAGATAGAGAAGGGGAGGGGGAGTACTGCCGAGCCGAAACAGTAGCAGGACGGCGGCGTATTCACCAGCGATAGCAATTTCTCGTCGGAGAAATTATGGAAAAGCTCTAGGGACCTTAATCAAGCTCAGGATTGGCACTGGGAGCTTGAGAGGGAAACGGCGAACTCAACTCGGTGAATTACAGTGGCTAAGCGCGGACAGAGGCGGCTAGCGGCGAGCAATGGCGGCGACGGAGCGACGGCGACACGGGGTAAGGCAACACAGAGCGAGACAGAGAGAGATAAGGGGCTTGGCGTGCTCATGAACACGACGCGAAGCTTGGGGAGGCACTTACTGGCATGGAGGAGCAGCTAATCGTCACGGCGATGTAGAGCTTCTTCACAGCAAGATCTCGACGGCGGTGCTAGGGCACAGGGCGGCATAGCGGCTCGAATTAGGGTGAGGTGAGGACGGGCGATGCAGGGGCGCGGTATTTATGAGTCTTTGCGGCGTAGGGCTCACGCCATCGGGAAGAAACAGGAAGGAGAAGGACACGGCCACGACAGAGTCCGACGTGGCTACGCGAGGAAGAAAACGGTGCCGACAGGGCAGGTCCACCGGTCAGCGAGAGAGGAAGTGGGTCCAAGACGTCAGACAGACAGAGGGGGAGAGGAGGTGGGCCACGGGCGTCCGCGCGACTAAGCTGGGCCACGACTGTGGGCTTGGCAATGGGCCGAGAGAGAGAGCCTTTGGCTGAGAGAGGTAAGAGAGAACGCTTGTGCCGGCGCCAAAAGGAGAGAAAGGGGAAAAAGAGAACTAGGCCGAGAGCAATAGGCCCACGCGGGAGAAGGAAGTGAGGGAGAGGAGAAGAGAGAGCATGCTGGTTGTGGCTGCAGGGCCAATAGAGAGGGAGAGAAGGGAGCCGGGCTGTAGGAGGCAAAGGGAGAGAGAGGGAAAAGGCCTTCGGGCCAGATTGAGAGGGAAGATTTTTTTTTCATTTTTCTAAATCTTGTTTCAATTTCCAATATGAACCATCTCAAGTTTAAACATGTTTTCAAATACACTTTGCAATTCAAATCAAAATGAACAATTTTGGTAGGCTTTCAAAAATAAATTTTACAACTTTTAAATTCTTTTATTTTCCAATTCTTTTTCTTTTCTTTTCTGTTATTTCAAAGCCATTTCGAAACCATTTTCAAAAGCGATTTGAATTCACTTTGAATTTTGGATTCAACCTCTCGTTGCAATAAATCAAATGCACTGGCATGTATGCACATCCATATTGCTACTCCTTATGATGAATTTTAATATAGTGAAAAATATTCTTTTTTCTATATTTCATGAGCACAAAAACAAGTATTTAAATGAATTTAACTTTATTTTAGAAAAGGCAAATTTAGGGTGTTACAGCAGCGACTACGGAACAGATTAAGGTTGTTAAAAATTGTGGTCTTATATAGGTGGTTGTCTACTTCACACCTCCACTTATAAAACCAAATTTTTTAACTCTTAAACTACTAAAAATCATCTAAATAACCTCTTAAGACGGTTTTGAAGCTGATTTCGCTAATGTGGCGATATGAAAAAGTCCAATAACCCCTTACATATAAAGGGTTAACTACATAAACTCGTCAACTATAAAACCTGATATTATAACCTATAAAATATCTAATAATATTTAAATATTAGCTTGGATGGCTTTGTAGGACTATTTGGACACCTTGGCCGGTTACACCGGCCTGAGTACCCATATTTTTTAACGGTTTACATGGTACAAAAGTTAAAAAAAATAAAATATTACATGTAATACTATATGAATCGGCCCATGATAAGACAACAGGAACCGCATAATTAGCAATTTTTTTTAACTCTATCTCTATTTCCTCATATATACTGGTTACACTCATCGTCGAACCTGTGCCAACAGTGACAACCAGATTTGAACAGGCACCCAGGCGTCGACGAGGGCGTCCCTGCCATATGCGTATGGGCGATCCCACGTCAGTACCGGCCCAAGGCACCCAAATAGTTGGGCCTCCAAAGCATCAGCTCAACGCGTAACAATAGTTCTATCCTTTCTTAATTATTGTGCTATTCTGATTTGTCTTTCTGAATTGAAAAACCATATTTTTAGAGCATCTCTAATAGTTTCCAAAAAATCACTTAGTAAATTAATAGTTTTCCGAGTGACTAAAAAAAGTTAGCAACATATTTGTTGGCTTTCTTCAACCATTTCTAAAATCCCGCTCCTAAAAGATAGAAGGTAATTTTGTATTAGTAATCTAAATCAAACCAACTACTTTTATATTTTCTTTCTCTCTTGTACATTTGCATCAGGAACCCTGTCATACTCCTTATTATTTCCCACATTCTTCCACCTTCGGATTGGTCAATAGATACTCAGCATGTATATCATCGCAATTAGGTCGATTATACCAAGTGCGGAAAAGATTTGAGAGTTGAGATAGTGAGTTGTTGGAGAGTTTTTTTTAATCTTGCCAAAGAACCAAGATTGGGAGTGGGTCTTGAAGATGCTCTTAAACTCCCTTAACTCTTAAAATTGTCTGACCTGTCATGAAAGTCCAATTTACCTTCCTTAGAGTTAACGCGACACCGTATAAGACAGATAATGTGGCAGCACGTCAGCAAAAATTGCTTTGAACACGATTCAGGGATGTTAATTAGACTTCATAAAATTGTAGAAATAAATTTTCAAAAAATATCTAAATATTTTTTTCCTAGAATAGATATGCATTTAAAAATACTAAACTCTGATTTAGTATTAGAAAATTTAAAGAAAGATTGTTTTAACACAAGAAAATATGAAACCAGTTTCATATTTTTCCTGTATTTCTAAGCTGAGCACCATAATATAGAACGTGATTTTAGAAAAAGTAAGGCATCTCATGCCCATTCAAATTATCTTCCTTCTCGATCATGTGTTTTAGTGCGTGTGCAACTACGATGACAACGATGAACGAGGAAACTGTCGCATCATTCAGATGTTGTCAACCGAGTTGCAAACATCTGTTCAAGAGTCTGAGAAGTTGAACATCCGGATGTTACCGTCCAAGTCGCACACCACACTGGCCGCCGATTATGGTCCAATGCACATGTCATCGACATGAGTCCCATAAAAAAAGACAATGTTCCTATAAAGTTAAATCACATGATTTATGTTGTTAATGTGCAATCAGAGCTTTAATTATATTTTATTTGCAATTTTCCATGCATGTCTCAATGGTTAAGTAAGATATTGCTCTCGAGGAAACATTTTTTTTAGTTTGCATAGGGTACACAATTCACGTTGCGGTTTGCAAAGATTAGTCTTGATATGCATCCTCTATTTCATATTTGATCCAGTTTTAGATTTTAGGATATATAATTCAGAGTCTTAAATAAGGAAAAAATAGAACATGTTTTTTAGAAAAAAAAATGCAACTGGTTTTATTTTTTAGAATATTTTTTCTATATTTTTTTGACAATCTTCTATAAATTTTCTAATCACAGACGAACCAGCACTTCCCATCCATTGGACCAACCAACTCGGTGTCCGCTCTGTGTCAAAAAAAAAAAAAAACTCGGTGTCCGCTCTCTCAGCTGCCTCTCCAGTCTCCCCCCGACTTCGTCGTCGGCGGCGACGCGAGCTGCAGGTACACCGGCGAGGTGGTCACGCGGTGAGTAAAGTCTGATTGTCTGTCTGTCTCTCTCCCTCTCGCTCTCTCCGGGACACCTCAGGATTTGTTTTATTTGACGTTCCAGACCGGACGGCCACCACCTGTTCGACGGAATGTCTCAGAGGAGTGAGGCCGCGAGGAGCAAGAGGAAGACTGCGGATGGAAGTACAGACCGACTCAGTGGGCTCCCAGAAGGTCTGCTGCTGGACCTTCTGTCCTTCCTTCCATCGAGGGACGCAGTGCGGACGTGTGTGCTTGCCCGCCGCTGGTGCAACCTATGGAAGGAGGTGCCTGCTCTCCGCATCACCCCTGCCACCACGTCGGGGTACTGTGGCGCGAGTACCCTGAACAGGTTCGTCAACGACCTGCTGTTCTTCTGCAACCGGTTACCTCTCCATGTGGCCGAATTCAGCTCCTATGGAGGTGACAATTTTGATGAGGCTGTCCAGTATTTGGAGCTTTGGATTCACTACAGTTTATCATGCCCAGTTGCCAAACTCTCTGTCACCAGCCACGATAAATATCAACGCTGGCTGCTTCCCAAGGGACTTATCACCTCGGAGCACCTGACAGCACTTCAGCTTACTCGGGTCAAGACACAGGACGATCTGGATTTCTCAAGTTGTGTGTCTCTAAAGCATCTGAAGATGACTGATTGTGGCATTTACTGTGATAGAATCATGTCCCCGTCACTAAAGCGTCTCATGATCGCACAATGTCACTTCATTGGGTATGCCCGTACCCAAATATATGCCTCGAATCTCATTCTCCTTCTGTTAGTTGACTGTATGGGAATGACTCCATTGCTCGTGAGCATGCCGTACCTAGTGGAGGCATTTATCAGACTTGGATACTGCAATGATTTTTGTAAACATAGTTATGAGATTGGTGATTGCGGGCATGAGTCATGTTGGGGATGCCAGTTCTATGAGGACAACTGTTGAAACAATAATTGCATTCTTCTTCATGGTTTGTCAAGCTGTACAAATCTGGAGTTAACAGCTGCAACAGCACCGGCATGTTTTCCCTTAGCACTTAATTGTTTTTCATTGTTCGCCTTCCATTCTGTCCTTGCATTTGTTTCTTAGTTGGAACCTGGAATAGCCATTGGGAAATATGTATTGTGTAGATAACTGTGGCCAAAATCATGTCATGACGCCTAGTCAGTTTTGAATGTTAAATACATACTGAATGGTCCTATTCACTTCAGTTGCATCCCCTCATCATGCTTCTTGTACTGCACAAGTTGAGATGTTGAGTTATTCTTACTGAATTTTCCTTTATGCAGTTCATTTTCAGGAAGGATTTGACGCGATGCCCTGTATTTAGCAAGTTAAAAACTTTGTTACTCAATGAGTGGTGCATTACTAATAACCTTGGTGCATTAATATGCTTTCTCCAGCACTCACCAGTTCTAGAGAAGCTCATTATTCAGTTTGAGCCTCCCGAGGTGCATGAATTCTCTGTGATAATAATCTGTCTATTTAAAGTAAACGTGTATGATGGCCTAACTTGGTATACATGTTCTGACAGATACATGAGAGATTAGTGGAAATAGGAGGAAGTTATGACCTAAGGAAGCAATCCCTTGTATTGAAGGACCTTAATGTTGAAGTTAGATGTGATGATGGTGATGAGCGGGTTCACAAAGTCTTGGATGTTTTGGGTTCCTATGGTTTATCCCCTGAGAAATTCAAGATCCAACGACCTCCAATACTGACTAGGGCCCGATTTGATGACACTTGGACTTCTGGAAGTAAGTTTTCTGTTGGCAATTTATATAAATTACTATATTTGTATGACCCTGTTTCTGTATGTATAAAATATAATGAAAAGGCTCCAAATATTGGCCATGGCCAAAGTTGTGGCACTTTGCCAAAATCAGAGCTTAAAGATGATGTATGTCTTGCGCCTTTCAAAATTGGGGCTGTGACAAAATTAGTGCAGAAAAATGGTGTTCTAAATGTAGCCATTCTAAAATTTTTCAAATATTATGATATGACATGTGGGCCTGGTATTCCATCTATTTGCTTAGGATCAAAATTGGAGACAAAACATAATAATTCTAATTAGACTCAAAATAATATACTAGTCCAGAATACCAAAAGTAGCAAGACCATCACAAGGTAACTCATGGACACCAGAGATGAGGTGACTGCAACTAAAACACATCCATGCCTCAAGTAACTGTTGCTTCAACTATTAGGAAACGAAGTTGTATTATGCCCATTCCATGCTGTCAAAGTTAGATGGTTTCACCTGAGACTATCTCAGGTTGCTTGCATAACTTTCACTTTAATGGCTCTTCATAAGTTGGGATGGGTTGGTATAAAAGGTACACTCGGAAAGCTACTACTATCAGATATGACGTGAAACCTTTTGGTTGCCTGCTGGTGCAAATTAAAACACTCAAGGCTGCTCCAAAAGAGATAAGAAAGGGAATGAATTCACTCATCATTCTGGTTGCCTAGGAGTTGTGGAAGCATAGGAATGCTTGTGTCTTTGAGGGTGCTAGTCCCTGTGTTCAAAGAGTTTTATCTGTAGTTTCTGAAGAGTGTTTGTTGTGGTGTTGGGCTGGAGGCTGGAGCTAAGGCTCTGCAACAGCTTTTTAGTAGGTTGCTACCTTTAGTTGTTTAGGCGTTTCTTGGGCAGTGGTCGTCTGTTTTTATTTCTTAATGTGTGGTGCTAAGAGTCCTGTAATTGGTTCTTGGGGGAGCAGGCTCTGCCTCTCCTCCGTTGTTATCTTCTTGATGAAATGACACGCAGCTCTCCTGTGTCGTTCGAGAAAAAAAACTTTAGGCTTTTCATGCAGCTTTGCCATGGTTTTTTTTTCCCGAACCAGGATAAACTCCATTTCCATTAACAACAGAAATCAAGTAGATTGAAAGGCCGGGCAGAGAGTTAGGCGACAAAAAGAAACCTAGTACAAGCTAGGATCAGTTGCCTCCGGTGACCAACCTGCTTAGTACACAGCCTATGCGTGTACATATCCCACTAACGAAAGTAAACACAACATGTATCAACATAAGAGTTGCAGATGAGCAGTCAGCATAAGAGTTGCAGATAAGTAGTTGAAACATCAGAGTTCCAGAGTGCAGCATCAGAGTTCCGGAGTGAGTTTCAAATATCAGATCAACTCCAGATGAGCACCACCCTTCTCCTCTTTGGCCAGCTCTTCAGTGGCAGTGATTCTTAGGCGAGGGTGTTGTGGCATTGCGACCATCAACCACTTCTCGTTGAGACCTGGCCTCAACGACCCTGCCCAAAATATAAGAAAAAAACAAGCTTTTGTGGTTACTTATGTTAGAATAAGTGGCCAACCGATTCTATTCCAGGCCCCAAAGGGGCAAGTATACAAGTTTGTACATATGCAAAGAACACCTCCAAGTAAAGGGAAAATAGAAAGTACATATATACATCTAACACCCCCCCTCAAACTCATGGTGGATCAACAACATTGTGTTTGGAGAGCAAGAATCTATGATAGGCTCGTGTCTGTGCCTTGGTGAAGAAATCCGCTAGCTGAACCTCTGAAGGAACGTGGTGGAGGGACACAACCTGATCATGCACCTGCGATCTCATGTAGGAAGCATCAATGCCAATGTGTTTGGTGAGCTCATGCTTGACCGGATCCCGAGCAATACTGATCACACCGGTGTTGTCAGATCGAAGAGAGAGGAGTGGGTGCAGTGGCAGGCACACCAAAATCCTCAAGAAGCCATCGTAGCCATGTCACCTTTGCAGTCACAGTCCCCATAGCACGCAGCTCAGCCTCAGCACTCGAGCGGGAAACTGCAGTTTGCTTCTTAGTTTTCCAGGCAATCAAGGAGGAGCCAAGGAAAACACAATAATCTGAGAGAGTAGTGATTAGTGGGATCACTTGCCCAAGTCGCATCAGAGTACGCCTGAAGCTGGAGAGAACTAGAGCGAGGGAAGAAAAGGCGGCGGGAGATGGTTCCGTGAAGATATCGCAGAACACGAAGGAGGTGAGCATAGTGGAGCTGGGTAGGAGCCGAGACAAACTGACTCAAGATATGAATAGAGTAATATCAGGATGGGTGATCCCAAGACAGACAAGGCTCCCAACAAGCTGACGATAGCGAGTGGGATCAGCAAGTGGTGCACCATCAGTTGGTCAGAGGTGAACACTAAGCTCCATAGGACGTGGGTGTCGTGTCTCACTAAGACGCTGCTTCACATAGGCAATGTACTGAGATTCGTCACCTGTGATGATCATGTCATCGACATAGAGAAGAAGAAGTGTGCAACCACGAGGAGAAATGTGAACAAAGAGAGCAGGATCATGGTCACTAGGTTGGAAGCCAGCATCGATGACAACAGAGGAGAAACGCTCGAACCAAGCACGAGGAGCTTGCTTAAGACCATAGAGAGAACGATGCAACCGACAAACCATCCCATCCGGAACAGAGTACCCTGGAGGTGGCTGTATATAGACTTCGTCACGGAGGTCTCGCCATTAAGGAAGGCGTTCTTGACATCCAACTGATATATCGATCACTGACGAATAGAAGCAACTACAAGAAGAGTCCGAACAATAGTCATGTGAGCGACAGGAGCGGAGGTCTCCTCATAGTCACGACCTTGCTCCTGTTGGAAGCTGCGCGCCACATGACGAACCTTGTAGCGCTCAAGCGAGCCATCCGAGCAGGTCTTTACCTTGTACACCCACTTGCAAGTGATAGGAGTGACATGAGGTGGTAAAGGAACAAGATCCCAGGTGCCAGTACGCTCCAAGGCAGCAATCTCCTCAGCCATAGCATGCTGCCACTCCTGGTGAGCAGCAGCCTCCCTATAGGTCGCAGGCTCAGCCAAAACGGCAGCAGTGCAGCCAAGGCGATCGGGAGGACGAAAGGTGCTGCGGTCATGAAGGGCATAGCGAGGTGAAGATGCAGGAGGAGGTCCAAGGACGGACGAGAAGAGTCAAGTGGCGGTGCAGGCCGCGGACGACACATGTAGTAGTGAGTGATCTCACGCGCAGGACACAAATGTGGTGGGGAAGGAGAGACTTGGTGGTGGAGGTGAAGTAAGAGGAGGTGGCGAAGGCGGAGAAATGGATACCTAAGGTGATGAAGAGGGAGAAGACGACAGCGGAAGATACAACTCAGGTAAAGCGAGGAACGAGAGGGACTCAACAGTACCAGAAGGACCAAAGGAGGAACGAGGATAGTAAGACCAGGACTCATCAAAGGTGGCATCCCGAGAAATCCTCATCCGACGAGCAATAGGGTCATAACAGCAATAAACCTTATGTTCCGTACTGTACCCAAGGAAAACACACTCAACAGATTGAGAAGTGAGTTTGGTTCGCTCATGAGGTGGAAGGACATAGCTAACACACCCAAAACAACGAAGATGGCTATAGGAAGGTGGGGTGCCAAAAAGACGCTCATAGGGAGTGCAACCCTGAAGAGCAGTAGAAGGTTGGCGATTGATGAGAAAAATGCCGTAGAAACAGCCTTAGCCCAAAAATGAGGAGCAAGCTCAGAGGAGATCAGGAGAGCACGAGCAGTCTCAAGAATGTGGCGATGCTTGCGCTCAGCAACACTATTTTGAGCATGAGCACCAGGACACGAGAACTGGGCAAGGGTACCCTGCTTAGCAAGATAGGAACGATGAGCAGTAGAGATGTATTCACCAGCAGAATCAACACGAAAAACTCGAATAGGAGAGTCGAACTGTGTACGGATCATAGTGGCAAATTGCTAGTAAATAGAAAGAAATTGACCACGAGAAGACATCAGATAAATCCAGGTAAATCTCGAATAGTCATCAACAAATACAGCATAATAAGATTGTCCCCCTTTTGTACAACATAATAAGATTGTCCCCCTTTTGAAACAAAAGGGGCAGGACCCCAAACATCAGAGTGAACAAGATGAAAAGGTCGTTGCGACTTAGACTTACTAGAAGGATAAGGGAGCTGCAATTGTTTGCTAAGTTTACAACCCATACAATTAAAAGCTCTAGTTTGGTTTTGGTGAATTGATGAAACCCTAAGTTCTAACCTAGTTTATCTAAGTGATCATGAGATAGGTAGCACTAAGCCAAGTGGTGGAGCAAATGAAGATCATGTTGATGGTGGTGATGGCCATGGTGATCAAGTGCTCGGCTTGAAAAGAAGAAAGAGAAAAAACAAAAAACTCAAGGCAAAGGTGAAACTTGATATGAGCCTTTTGGTTTGGTGATCGAGACACTTAGTGAGTGTGATCACATTTAGGATCGATAGCCGTACTATTAAGAGGGGTGAAACTCGTATCGAAATGTGGTTATCAAAGTGCCACTAAATGCTCTAACTCATTTCATATGTATTTAGGATCTAGTGGAGTGCTAACACCCTTGAAAATGTTTGTGAAAATATGCTAAACACATGTGCACAAGGTGATACACTTGGTGGTTGGTACATTTGATCAAGGGTGGCGAAGTTGGAGTTGAGAAGGGGCTGTCTCGAGGTGACTGGACGCTGCTCTAGCAGCGACCGGACTCAGGAGCCGCGTCCGGTCAGTAGCGCGCAGTGAAGGCGCCCTCGGTCCTTTGACCGGACGCTAAACAGTGAATGTGACCGGACGCGCAGGGCCTGCGTCCGGTCAGGGGATGACGTACGTTGACGTGTGCTTCTTCGCGAGCCAGAGAGGACCGGACTCGGAGCTACGTCCGGTCACCTGTGAACGGACGCGTCCGGTCGCAGATTTCCCTCTCTGGATGCTTACTGGAAACGACTTGACATCGGGAAGCCATGGGGAGCAGCACGTCCGGTCAGGGCGTGTTGGCGCGGGCACACGTGTGGGCTGACTTGGCACCGGCGCGTCCAGTCTTCTGGACGGCGCGTCCGGTCGTAACTATCGTGTGGCGTGAAGCTAACTAGCCATTGAGATCGCGTGGACGAGGTTAAACCGAGGGGCCACGTGGCGCGCATCGCGCGACCGGACGCTGGGTGGCGTGCGTCCGGTCGCCCCGACCTGCACGTCCGGTCGGTGCGCAGTGGGGTGCTCTATGAGCCCAACGGCTCTATTCGTGGGGGGCTCCCTATTTAAGCCCCGTGGCTGGCTTTAGCTCACTCTCTTGGCCATTTGTATTTACATAGCTACCTTGTGAGCTTAGCCAAAGCCCTCCCACTCATCTCCATCATAGATTCATTATCTTTGTGAGATTGGGAGTGAATCCAAGTGCATTGCTTGAGTGATTGCATCTAGAGGCACTTAGTGTTCGTGTTTCGCTGCGGGATTCGCTTGTTACTCTTGATGGTTGCCGCCACCTAGACGGCTTGGTGCAGCGAGGATCATCGAGCGGAGGTTGGTGATTGTCTCCGGCTCCGATCGTGGTGATTGTAAGGGGTTTTTGACCTTTCTCCGGTGGAGAGCCAAAATATACTCTAGTGGATTGTTCGTGGCTTGTGTGATCCTCATCTTGTGTTGGTTGTGCGGCACTCTATTGAGGGTTTGGCGTGTGATGCCAATTAGCGCGTGAACCTCCAAGTAAGTGAATCGCCACAACGAAGACTAGCTTGCCGGCAAGCAAGTGAACCTCGATAAAAAATCTTGTGTCATCTTGTCCGAGGATTTCTTGGTATTCATTGTGATTGATTGTGATTGATTGGCTCCATCATTGTGATTGGCTCAATTCCTCTACACGGTGGTATAATCATCACATCCCCTACCTTGCATTTACATTTCTAGTGTTGCTTCGCTCTTTAGTGTAATTAGTTTTGAGAGCAAGCTTGTGTCGGGTCTAGTGGTTAGTGTGACTCTTTAGTTAGTCTTCGAGAGCACACTAACTTAGTGTAGTGACATAGCCATTGTGTGCTTAGAGATCATAGACACTAGAATTGTGGTAGGTGGCTTGCTCTTTTAGTAGGCTAGCGCAACACTCGATTCGTTGTTTAAATTGTCTAACATATTTGTTAAGTGTTGTTGTAGAAATTTTCAATAGGCTATTCACCCCCCTCTAGCCATTAGGACCTTTCAACAATGTAGAGTAGTGTGGACCTAAGACACCACTAGCAACTAGACTGGACAATCTAGAACCAGAGAGGTGGCCTAGACGACGATGCCACTGCGCAAAAGAAGTGGTAGGCGAAGTAGCGGACGCAGATGCTGGAGAACTGGGAGCCAAGTGAGCCAAGGTGGATGAAGGAAGACAACCAATCAAGCTTCCATTGACGTTTTGAGTCCCGATGCCTAGGCCCAATCCCCACCAAAAGACCTGTACAAAGGTTCTGAACACAACAAGAATCAGATTCAAGAATTATGCGACAGCCATGATCAGTGATTTGACTCATGGACAACAGTTGCATGGTGAGTTTAGGAACGTGGGAAACGGTAGGAACATCAAAGGAAGATGTCGAAAGAATGCCTCTCCCAGCAACAGAAAGCGAAGTGCCATCCGCAGTTCGAACAAAAATAGGTGGATCGGGAGAAGACACAGATGACAAATTGGTTGAGTCGGGCGTCATATGAAAAGAAGCACCAGAGTCAAGGAACCACGGGGATGATATACCTGGAGGAGGAGAAGCAGAACTAGACGCCTGAGCAGTAGTCCCGTGAGCTGAGGCCTGAGCCGCAGTAGTAAGGCGACGAAACATGGCAGGAACCTTCTGCTCCGCTGCAGACACTGAACGAGTGCCCTGCTGAGTAGAAGAGCCACCAGAGCCCTGAGAGGAGCCCTGAGAGAAGTGTCTGCCACGACGCCCCTGTCTGTCGCGCTGCTTCTTGCGACACTCCTCATGACCATAAATCTTGCAATAGCCACACTGAACACCAGAAGGAGCCCCCGCCACCACTAGAGATTAGGACAGAGGCGAGGAGACCGAGGGAGGTGTGTCCGCTAGGACGGAGGGCTGCGGCGGAGCACGACTCACACCCCCAGCTCGAAGACGGGTCTCCTCTGCTCACAGCTCAGGCATCGCCTCTGAGAGAGATTAGCGCGGACGACGAGTCAGCAACTGCACCCGGGCAGTCTCAAACTCCGGACGAAGCTGAGGGAGGAACTCGTGAAGGCGAAGTGTGTCTCTCTGGTCCCGGTGGTGGTCACAGCACCGACAAGTGCCACCACCGCAGAACTCAGCACGCAAACCGTCGAGACGATGCCAGACAGTTGTCATCTGAAGGTGGAAGTCGTTAACTGTAGAATCAAGCTGACGAAGTAACTGAGCCTCCTCAACAACAGCGAGGTACATCGCTTCGTTACGGATCTCGTAACTGCGACGAAGGTGGTCCCACATAAGGTGTGAAGTGGCAAGACCTCGGGCGACATCAACCTCCATGCTTGCAAATAAAATGGCCTTAGCAGATTTCTCCTTGCGCAGTCAAGTCTCATAGACACCGAGATAAGATTGGTAGCTCTCCATCTCAAGCTCAAATGCCTCAAGCAAAGCACTCTTGGCATCATCAGCGGCATCTGGTGGGTACGTGGGCGGTGTTGGGAGAACGGGACGCGAAGGACAGACCCGCTCCCCTATGAGGTAGCCCCACAGCAGCTGTCCGTCCATATGAACCTCCATATGGAAAGCAGAATCTCCCCAATTGGTGCCATTGAAGAAGACAGGGCAGCGGGGGACAGGAATAGCACCAGGACCACCAGTGCGCCCGGGGGACGCCATTGAAGGAAGGAAGCAACTAGCTGTTTTTTTTGGAGAAATAAGAGCAGAGAAGGAAACAGGGGAAGGAAACAGAGAGAAGGAAACGGAGGAGAGGAAACAGAGAGAGCTCGTGGCCTGGAGGTGGGCGAGCACATGCCGCGCGAGTGGGGCTCGGGCAATGCAGGTGGGCGCGCGGGCGGCTCAGGCGGGGTTGCGTGATGGGGCGCGGGCGTGGCACGGATGAGCGGGAGCGGTGCCACGCGGGGCCGCGCGAGGCGGGCGCGGCACAGACAACAGCGCGGGCCCGCGCGAGGCGCGCGTTAGGGAGGAGGGACGCGGACGTGGAGCTGGCGCAGTGGCAGCGCCATGAAGCGCGGGTCGGCCGGTTGCGCTGGAATCGCCGGCGTCGCTCAGGTAAGGATGGAAACCCTAGCTTGATACCATGTTAGAATAAGGGGCAAGTATACAGGTTTGTACATATGCAAAGAACACCTCCAAGTAGAAGGAAAATAGAAAGTACATATATACATCTAACAACTTCAAGAGGATGTTTGTTTCTTTTTTTTATCGAAACATGCTTTATTTCGACACTTCCAAATTGATCAGCAAATAGCTGAGTTTAATAGAACATGCATCGACTTATCATTTGGAAGCCATATGCGTAACCACAGCCAACATTGATGAGTATAATTTGGAGTGTTATTAGCACCTATTAGACAAACAATTAGCCCCATTTCTCCCTAGCCCCTCCACACTTGGAACAAAAGATGATTGCTGGATTCATCACGTTCGCAAAAGCAACAAGTAGGACTGCCTTGCCACTTTTAGGACTGCATCTATAGTCATGGTCTGAGAAGTTCTGATAGTTAACACAGCAGTAGCTTTTGTAATTGGCCCCTCGTTTTTTGTTTAACCTTCGCCACTGATTATCCTCCGAATCATTTTCCATTGTTCCATCAAAATACCATCGAGCCATCTCCTGAAGTTTAACTGGCAACTTCTAGCCTTGCAACTGTATATATATACTGCATTTGGTTTTGCATCACAAAGTTCAAAAAGTACAGGTTTATATGGCTTTGGCATGGTTGCATCAGATTACAACTACGATTGTATATAGCTTTGCCTTGGTTGCATCAGGTTGCAATCTGTAGGTCACTTGTCCAGCAATCGAAGAACCTTGTTAATAATGTGCCTATACGTTCATGTTTGTGCAGGTTTCAGCTTCGAGCAGGAGATCTAGTTACACTGTTGACGGAGGCACTGAGACTCTCAACGCTTCAGAGTTCAGAATGCATGTGAGGATAAGGCCCTGTTTAGATCCCACCCAAAATCCAAAATTTCCTAAGATTCTCCGTCACATCGAATCTTGCGGCACATACATGGAGCATTAAATGTAGGTAAAAAGAATAACTAATTGCACAGTTTGTCCGTAATTGGCGAGACGAATCTTTTAAGCCTAAATAGTCCATAATTGGATAATTTTTGTCAAATATAAACAAAAGTGCTACAGTGTCCATTTTCCAAACTGGAAGGGATCTAAACAGGCCCTAACCGAAGTCGTCTTGTGTATACTGGCAAGTCTGGATCTTATCATGTCATCAGCACGGGCTTTTTGGAATTCGACCATTATGAAAAGTGGGCTTCGGTGATTTGCCATCCCGCGACGGGGCTTTGCCATCTAGCCATTACGAAACGCGACCCATCTGCGAGAATGCCATCCGATGACTTTGGGACCATTTTCTTCCTCTTCTGCCCCTGTCCCTTTCCTCTTTCACAGACGGAACGGAGGGGTGCACGCCTGCAGCACGGAGTTCATGGAGCAGGTGTTGCCGAGGTTGTTGAGCCCCCGCAGCCCCGCCGCCGCGGCGCCGGAGGTGGATGTGGTGGGGTCCGCGGAGCTCATGAGCGCGAACTAGGCTGGATCTGGCGCCCACGCGCGGTAATCCACGTGCCGGCGCTTGCGGAGCGCCGCGGATGGGGACGGGTGGGGACGGGGAGGCGGAGGTGGAGGTTGAGGGGAGGAGCGAGGAGGACTGGGCGAGGAAGACGGCGTGGTCGAAGTCGGGATCGTAGACCTGGTCCCCGCAGCGGCGCAGAAGAGCTCGGCGCGGGTCGGCGCCGACGGTCATCTGGTGGTCGGCCCTGCAGAGGCGGAGGCGTCGAGGGGCGCGGGGGAGGGCGTAAGACGGCGGCGCAGAGATGCAAAGCGAGGCGGAGGTCGGGGACGGGCCGCGGCGGCGCGCAGGCGGCAAGCAACAGCTCAAGCAGTCCCCCGCCGGATCTCGGGCGGCGGAAGCGGCGCCGCAGCAGCAGCGGCAGAGATAGCGCAGCGGGCGCGAGGACAGGCGGTGCACAGTGAGGTGCGGGTAGGACGGTGGTGCCGACGGGGTGGACATCGGGGATGGGAAAGGGGGCGGGTTGGTGGGGACAGCGGCGGCTGCCGCGGGGTGCGGGCCAGAGCGTGACAGCAGGGGGCTTCATGAACTCCGTGCTCCAGGCACTCCTCCACGCGCCCCGCTCCGGAACTACTTCCTCGGCGATCGCCACAACCGGTTCCTCTGCCCGCACCGCACGCCCGTCAGGCACAAGAGGAAAGAGACAGGGGCACAAGAGGAAGAAAAGGGTTTCAAAGTCATCGGATGACATTCTTGCGGATAGGTCGCGTTTCGTAATGGCTAAATGGCGAAGCCCTGTTGTGGGATGATAAATCACCGAAGCTCACTTCTCATAATGGTTGAATTCCAAAGAGCCCCGTCAGCACAGTTATGGCACTGGCCTGGTCTGGTCTAGGAGGCACTGCAACTCTCTCTTCGCACGTTCTCTTCATGTACATATTCGCTATGCATTTTGTTTCTCGCTCAGCATTGGTATCTCTGCTGGGATAAGTCATGTCGGATCATGCGACCGTCCCAGAATGCTTGCCCATGTCACATCGAATCTTTAGATACTAATAAAGAGTATTAAATATATATTAATTATAAAATCAATTACTTAGCTAGAGACTAATTTGTGAGATGTTTTTTTAAGCCTAATTAATCTGTCATTAGCATATGTTTACTGTAGCACCACGGTGTCAAATCATGGACTAATTAGGCTTAAAAGATTCGTCTCACAAATTAGTCGCAAGTTGTGTAATTAGTTTTGTAATTTGTCTATATTTAATATTCTATACACGTATCTAAATATTCGATATGACAGGAATTTTAGGAGTCCCTGTAGTAACAAACACCCCCTTAATTACTGAGTTCACATGTCCTGCTGATTGTAGTTCTGCACTTGTGCTACCCTACACCTGTGTCACCTGCTTGAAAATTTTGGCTCAGCCAGTATTATTCCTAGTATATGTCTTCCGCATGTGGAGGCCACGACGCCATAGCTCGGACTCGGACTCGCCTAGTGGTGCAGTGGATTGAATTGGATTAGGCTGATTTTTTTTTTTGGAGAAGGTTGTGGTAATAACTTAAAGAATTAGGCCCTGTTTAGATCCCACCCAAAATCCAAAATTTTCCAAAATTCCCCGTCACATCGAATCTTGCGGCACATGCATGGAGCATTAAACGTAGGTAAAAAGAATAACTAATTGCACAGTTTGCCCGTAATTGACGAGACGAATCTTTTAAGCCTAAATAGTCCATAATTAGACAATTTTTGCCAAATACAAACGAAAGTGCTACAGTGTCCATTTTTTAAACTGGAAGGGATCTAAACAGGCCCTTAATTTGCTATGGATTAGGTTAGGTAAGAGATGAGTTTCTAGGATCATGTCCGTACGTGCGACGGGAACATCAGATAGTGACCAACCAACTCAACACAATATCCTTCTTAGGACGTCGCTGTCCAATGAAGATAAATCAGGACCTTCTGCTATATATTAAAGAGCTAGGCAAACCTAATAGATAATATTCGGTTTAGGACGGAAACAATATTCTCTCCGTCCTTAAAAAATAATGTAATGTAACTCTAGCACAACTATCTATTCCCTCACTAATATAATAATAAAGAGACAAAATTTCTCCCCACCTATTTTTTGGTTCGGTTATCCCTTAACTAACTTTGTGAATGTGAAAAACCACATATAACCCTTCTCTTTATATAACTAGGAATCATAATCCAATTAGATCTCTCTAATTTCCGGTGAATAGGAATCTTAATCCAAATAGAAAAAATATAATAATATGGAAAACTAGAAATCTTATTAATCCAATTAGATCTCTCCAACTCCGAGTAATCGGAATATGAATCTTAATCCAAATGCAAAAAATATAAGAATAGAAATCTAATAAAGAGGAAAGGAGGGTATAATTTTTTTGTTTCGTTTCTTTTATGTTCTTTCATCAATTTTTTCTGGTTTGTCTGTTTTTACTTGCTCTGAGTATGTGTTGCTTTACGTCCATTGGGACGCTTTTCACTTGGCTCCGAATATGTTCTGATTTTTTCCCGTGGCTATTTTCTAGAGTACATTCCAATTTTTGTCATGACTGTTTTCTACTTGGCTTCGAGTATGCTCAGATTTTTTTACAAACAATAAATAAGAGATCACAGCCATTTTAATTTTTGACTACTTAAGAAACAAAGATTTTTATCACTAAGTTAATTTATTTTTTGACTCAAACTCATGGCCCGTAATACAACTCATTACGTATTGGGTCCCGTTGCAACACACGAGCATGTTTGCTGGTAAATAAAAAAAGTCACGTGCGTGCACACTCCACGAGATCTTGTAATTAGAGGACTTAGGATATGCCCAGGAGCTCGTAGGAACGAATCCGAGAGCAGTAGACCAAGCTCGTTTGCCGATTGATCGATGGTATTGTGGAATTGGGATGAAGAGTAGCAAGGATCCAACCTAATCTGGTACCAGGTGTAAGTAGAGGGATTGGTAGAGAAGAACAACATGAATAGTTCGGAGGAGGAATGATTAGCTATCAGTCTGGGGCCTGTTCGGCAGGACTGAAAAATACTGTTCCGGCTGATTGTTGTGAGAGAAAAATACTGTTCTGGCAGGACGTAAACAGTGATTTCGTGTGAGAATAAGCCAGCCAGCCAGCAGGCAATAAGCCAGCCGAACAGCCTTTCTTCTTCTCTCATTCCTCTCGGTCTATCTCTTTAATTAATTAAGCGTTACAACTTACAAGCCGATAGCTCGTGCACGGCTGTGGTCACGCGCGCAAGCATGCATGCCTCACTGAACCCATGTCCACTCGAGTCCGGCGAGCCTAGTGTCGTGTTGGTGAGCTCGATCTTGTTCCATATCACGGCCAAGTTCCTCTTATGCTTCTTCAGAAGGTGTCGTAGAAGCTAATGATGCGGCACTTGTAGAATACATGAAATAAAATAAAAAAGTAAAACTGAAAATAAAAAAATAGATTAAAATAAAAAGAAACAAAAATAAGGAAATCCATATAGAAAACATAAAAGAAAAGATAAATGAAATAGAAATAGAAGAAACGAATGAAAACAAAATAAAACATAAATAAAAATAAAAAAATAATTAATTATGGTAAAAAATAAATAAATAGAAGAAAGATAGAAAGTTATTAAAAATAAAAAGTAATAGAAGAAAGGAAAGAAAACAAAATGAAAGGAAATAAAAAAAGAAAAGAAAGGCAAAAGAAAAAGACTCCGTACAACTTAATATCCCAATTGTCTCCGGACCAATAAAGACGAAACGGCCCAACAGCAACCATTCCATCGGACTCGAAGCTCGGAACGCTTGAACCGCAACATCAGCGTAGGATCGGAACCGCCGCAAGTCCGATCGAGTGCATCACGCGTATACGTGCAAACCGCAACTCCTGCCCCCCGTGCAAGTTTCCACCATACCGGACTCGCGACACGTACGTACCCAGAGCAAGAGCAAGTCCATCTCGACTCACCGCAGACCGCAGGCCGGAACAAAACCGATCATCTCTCGCCGCGCCGACCTCCAAGCTAGCTAGCCTCCAACCGATCATCTCTCGGCCGGCGTGCCTAGGGCTCCGACGGTCCAATCCATCCGGCTTCGTCGTTCGCTCATCTCATGGCGTTGGATGTGATCGTGCATCGTAAGCGCCCGGCACCCAGCCGTGCGAAGAAGGCCGGCAAGAAGCAGAGACGACGACGACGCTACTACAAGATGCCGTCGGAGGAGTACTACTACGAGTTCAGGTTCGACGACGACATCGGCGACGACATGGTGGAGGTGAGCTACGAGTTCGACTTCGACAGCATCGACCGCTACGAGATGCTGGAGGAGTTCGGGCCGTCCGACACCGACCCCGCCGTCGCCGAGGCGCGGGACAGGTCCACGGGCGAGACGGTCGCCGTCAAGCGGGTGCGCCCCAGCCAGGGCGACGGCGGCGCAGAGAGACTCTGCGCGGTCGTGCGCGAGGCCAGGTGCCTGGACGCCTGCCTCGGCCACTCCTCCACCCTGCAGCTCAGGGGCATGGCCGCGGACGACAAGACCGGGGACCTGTTCATCGTCACGGAACAGCTCCTCGGCAGCGGCTGCGGCGGTGCCAGCACGCTCCGTAGCCGGCTCACGCGGCCGTTCTCCGAGGCCGAGACGCGGGCGCTCATGAGGCAGCTCCTGGGCGCGGTCGAGAAGATGCACGGCGCCGGGGTCACCCACCGCGACATCAACCCGGACAACATCGTCGTCGGCGCCAGCGGCGTGTTCAAGGTCTCCGGGTTCCGGTGCGCGATCACGCCCGCGGAGAGGTTCCTCGGGGAGCCGCACCCGCCCATGGGCGCGCTGCGGTACTGCTCGCCGCACCAGCTGAACGGCCTCCGTTGCTACTGCCCGGCGGAGGACGTCTGGGCGCTCGGGTGCGTCATGGCCGAGCTCCTCGCCGTCGCGCCCCTGTTCACGGCGGATGCCCAGGAGGACTTGCTCGGTGAGACGATCGACCTGAGAGACGAGATCGTCAACTTTGGGGCCGATGCATTCGACGGCGTGCTGGAGGAGGTGTCGCTCGCCGGCCGTGAGCTGCTTGCTGGCCTGCTGGCCTTCGATGCCTCGGAGAGGCCCACCGCCGCTGACGCTCTCAAACACCGCTGGTTCGCCGAGAACGACGTCGCCAAAGCAAAGTCTCGAGTTGTGCGTGCCTATAAGCAACGATAGCCATGGACACGAACTGATTTTTTTAAACAATATATGCAACGTAAATTGTTTTCTCTGTAATATTAACTACTGCTAGTACTGTAGTTGGCAGGAAGAACTGCATTATGTTGTTGATTCCATATATGATATCATTAAGAATTTGACAGAAGGAATTAATTATGATAAGTATGTGTTTTTTTACTTCTTATAGTATTGCAATTAAAAGTTTTTTGTGCAGGTTGATTTTCACAACTAGGGATGCTTGGCTATATCTGGAGGAGACAGTGGTGCTAACATATGAGGAAAATAATAACTAAATGACTAGCTAGCCATCTTTGATCAGCAATCCGCATTGACCTCCTCCACCAGGTGTGCTTATATAAGCATTAACATACGACTCTGACCCTGCTAGTGACCTCTTCAGAACGACGCATATACTCCGTATGCAATCTCTGCAATCAGACAACAAAGGCGAGATCAGGAAGTGTAAGGCATTACATTACAAGCAGCAAGGTCAACACATACTGCCGCAAGGCATCCCCTCTGAAATAGAATGATGATTCAGCGTGTGCGTCTTACCTAGAGTGTTATCATGACATTGTTCATTTTCATGTGCAGACTACAGAGGGAATCTGAATTTCAGCAGTAATGGCAACGCGAGACCAAATGGAGATATAAGAAGTACAATCACTAAAACATAGATAGCCTATGCAATCACTGAACCGAGTCCACGGTAGCACAAAAATGATAGGAACATAACAGTACTTCACAATCAACAGCTGAACAGCTGAATTCACCACGATCAACAGCTGAACAATCACTGAACAGCAAACAGTTCATGATATTTCAGAATTCAGAGTAGCATGAGGTTTTATTTATTTTATTGGTTGATGATGATGCCGGTCACTTGGTAGTGTCAAGAACGTGTCCCACGAAAGCAATCACCCCAGACCGCTCCTCCATGATGAAGAAGGTGAATGGATGGTCGGCGGTGAACTCGACGATGTCAGGCGGTCCGCCCCCACCACGTAGTTTGAATGCCACTGCTCCAGCCTCAGTTCCCTTCTCGTTCACATTAACCACCGCCATGTGCGCAACCTTGCTCAGGAACAGTGCCTGCTGCCGTGTCTTGCCGTCACCGTCGCACATGCCCCGCAGGTCGGCGGCCTCCGGCGAGAACGGCAGCGTCAGACCCAGCTGGCAGAGAGTCTCCTTGAGGTTCCCCCAGTTGAATGTTATCTTGAACTTGGGCAGCTTCAGGTTCACCCACCGCAACTTCATGTGGGCCAAGATGCTGTACATGAACGCTGGCGACGCGGTGACCACGTCCACCATGGTCGCCATGCCGTCACGCGTGTCCGGGAGGAAGACGAACATGGAGTACCGACTCGCTTTGGAGGCGTGTGGCCACACCGACGGCTCATCCTCAGGTTTGGTACAGCCACCATCCGGCTTGGCCTCCTTATAGGGGATCTTGAGCACCTTGAAGCCGTCCATGCAGGCGACTTGCCGCAGGGTGTAGTAGGACATGGACATGAATTCTGCCTTGGTGTGGCGGCCATCGAGGAGGTGGAACGTGGACGTGCCGCAGGGTTGAAACGGCTCCATCCAATCGCCCTTGAAGTAGACGGCGTTGGCGAGCACGAGGTCGGTGTCGGCGTTGATGTCGCCGGTGGAGATGATGGACTCGATGAGGTTGTCCGTCGCCTTCTTCACCCATGAGTTGATCATCTTCACAGCGGCCTCGGGCTTCACGTACGTCGTACCATATATGCATGTAAGTGTCATTAGTGAACAACTTGCATGATGGATCATAAAACATTTGGAAAAACCGATCCAATCGCGCGGAAAAATACACGATCTCGAGGTGGAAAGATATGTCTAAGAAATGAAAGGACATGATTCCCAATATAAATGAATAAGAGAAAGAAAATATAAAAGTGACCGGGTGATTTAGAAGTAGTCGGAGATTCCTAAATGGAAAGTTACCTTTTAGAGTTAGATATTGAAAATGATTGCAAGATTCTTATTGCAAAATTACCTTTTAGAGTGAGAAATTGAAAATGATTGCAGAAAGCTAACAAATATACTACCTGCTTTGTTGAGTGAATTATAAAACTCATTGATTTAGCAATTTTTATTACAACTATTGGAAGAATATTTGTAAACGATGGCTTGCTTCATTTTACGCCGTACGTCCTAATAGAATGAGAAATCAGGCCCCAATCTAATCTAAATGCATTCAACATCTATCTAGGTTTAGATATTGATCATCTCCTATAAAAAAAAGATATTGACCATCTAACAAGTACCAATGCAAGAGAATTGAAGTACAAATATATTCTGTTTTAAAGTGAAGCAGAAAAGGTACCTCTCACACTTTTATTTTTGTGCAACACATGGCATGGAACGATGGGAAAAAAAGCATCTAATCTAACCCACTAACCTCCTCGGTGAAGCTGACGGTTCTCGCCTCCGACTTGTAGGCCTCGGCGGCGACGTCGCGGAACGCGTCCGTGAGCCCGCCGCGGGCGGCATCAACCCAGACGCCTCCGCCGAAGAGCACGCGAGGCCCGCCGACGCCGGAGCGGTCGGCGAGGACGCGGTCCGCGACGCGGCGGCCGAAGTCGGCGAGCTCCTCGGCCGATGGCGCGCCGAGGAAGGAGAGCAGCTGCGCCAGCGTGGCGCCTTGCGCGCCCGCGGCTGTCAGCGCCAGCGCCGCGTGCACGGACACCGGCGAGAACGCGACGTTCTTGTTGGCGTGGCGATGGCTGCGGCGGCGGAGTCCTCAGCGCCAGGAGCCGGGGGCGCCAGGTGCTTGGCGAGGCGGAGCGCCAGGGCTGCGGTTGCGGCGTCGGCCATGGTTGTCGAAATGGGAGAGGAGTCGTGGCGTTTGACGTGACTTGCGACGTGTGCGATAGATGCGGACTATATCGGTGGGTTACGTGCAGTTTTTATGGGATACGGGGTATTCGGATATAATTATTATCGTGTTGACTGATTCTTGCCGTTTAAGAAAAGATATTATATTTATATAAGTGCTAAAAATGAGTCGATCCTCGGCTAAAATAAAGAATATATATATACTCCTATAAATTTGCTATGTACTTCAGCTTACTTATCTTAGAAACACTTTCTCGTTCACAACCGTTGTTTAGGTTTGGAATGCATAATTTTACTTTTGGCATACGAAATCCATACTAAATTACGTAATGTATGCGTTATTATATTGTTATGAATGTAGAAGTCGGGCATGCTCATCTTCCTCCTAGCGGGCTTCTCTTGTCTTCCTCCATGGATAGAGATGCGCGTGTGCGTGAGTGAGGGGCGGCACACAATGGAGGACGAAGATGCATGTACTAAGGTACGTCGGTCGTTGGCACGTCGTGTGGTTATCACAGTATAGTTCAAAGTGGGCCCCAATAGACAGAAAAGGTCTCGACTATGCCTGTCAGAATGGGCTGCCCCTTCCTCTTGCTAGACTGAGGAAAAAATTCAATTTACCCTTATCTATCACGATCGTTTGATTTTCCTCCTTGAACTACAAAATCATTTTTTTGCCTCCCTCAATTTTTGAAACCATTTTTTTGGACCTTAGGTGATTTTGATGGTAGTTTTACTAATGTGGCGCCACGTTAGAAGAGATAAATCAGACTAAGCAGAAAGTTCAGGGAGTATATTAAATATTAAAAAAAAAACTCCAAAAATCATAGAAATAAGATTTAAAAATTATCCAAATATTTGTACATGGAAAAAACTAATGCAATTAAAAAACCCAAAAATCTGGTTTAATCTTAGAAAATTTGTTTACCTAGAAAAAAAATATAAGCAACTTTTAGTTTTTTTTCTTTGTAAAATTATGAAATTGTTTGTAGGTGCTTATTTGCTACTAAAAGCTCGTGTTATCGAATGTGATTAGTTGATGTAAATTGTCCGACCACGTAGAAGCGCCAGTGGAGCGTCTGTCTTCAGTCAGGACTACGTATGTGCGGCAGAAATTGAGAACTCTGCCTGACACGACTTTCGTACTAGTATAAAAACACTACAGGTGTGCGACAGACATTTTGTTACGATTAAGTTTTTGGAGGCTCGGTTCAAGTTCAACGCTCTCTGTTGAGTGAGTGCAGCTGGCCCTTTTCTGGACGTGGGCCTGAATTTTTACCCTGCGGCCGCGGGTTGGCCTGATAGCCCAACAAGAAATGAAAACCCAAAATATAGCAGCCCAAGACATACTTTTGGTCTGACCGACAACATCAACTCCAGCACAGCATGCGGCAGAAGCCCAGCAGAGCAGATGTATTCATTCCCCAACGGCCCAATCCCTAACCCTTGCATTTTCCGGTCCCCAGTTGGGCCTGAAGCTGTCGGCCGCCTGAGCACTGAGGCACACGCTCCGGCCTGTAGGAAAGGAAGAGGCCTGCCGCCTGCACGCGCCGCGCCCCCATTGACGCCACTGCGCCCTCGCGGAAAACAAACCGGAGTTTCTAAATATCTTCCGGCATATTTTCGGTGCTGTTGTCTTCCACTTTTGTATGATCCAGATGTTTGTTATGATTCGTGTCATTGTTTGTTTTTTTAGTTGTACAGGCTCACGTAAACAATAACGGCCTTTTGTCTTCTGTTTTGTGGCCCATCTAGGCTGTGGCCACTGGTTCATTTGAATTTCGTGTTCTGGGAGCTGTCGACGGTGGCTGCAGTGTTGTTGGAGGCGGCGGCGGCAGTTGCGTTGCTGACGGTGTGGTGGACGCGGCGTTGTCAGAAGCGGCGTTTTGGACGGTGGCCGCGACATAGCCGGTGGCGGTGGCAGCGGCGCCATCTGTCGTTATTTGTGTCTGTCGCTTGGATCTCTGCCGTCCACTTGCCCCAGGGCTGGCGCCGGAAGCCGCGGTACATGGTCTTGTGCTCCCGCTTCCTGATCGGCGGCTCTGCATGCAAACTGACGACGGCAAGCGTGCATGTGTCTGGTGAGCCGGTCCAGAGTGTCCTATCCTAGCTGTACCTTGTTACTGGTGTACGTGCGT